GTAAAGGTTCGATCCCCCAATACCCCATCCTCAAAAAAGGGGAAAATGTGTTTGCTCATCCAAGATTTATACCTTACAGACTGACCTCCCAGAGTTGGGATGACCTCCTTTAAAGCTCCAGCCTACTGCTGGTCCAGTGATTAAGGCAATGGATTAATTTCTCTAAATTTGGAAACCAGCCCATCCATTTATCAAAGGAAGAGCTAATATCTCTCCAGCCATAAACATTGGGCTGCCCAATACTGATATTTATTTGCAATGCCATGTGACTTTAACCATTAGACTTGGATCTCTGAGGCCTCTGCTCATCAGTAGAGGGGTCGTTGGTTCCCAACCTCAACCAGTCCAGAAAGCAGAAATAGCAAGATGAAATTGAAGACATGTTCCTTTCACTCCTGCATCTTATCCCCTAAGTACATCAGAAGAGAAACTTAACAGCTCCAAGGCCTGAAGACAGAAGTCTAAGACAGTCTGATGTCTAAACTTACTGTATCTCTTTGCACTGGTCCCGTGAATAAGATTTTGTTTATTTGCTATTACCATAGACACATGGTTCAAACTCAATCCTATGACTGAACAAGCAAAAACATTATGAATAATGGGAGACAATCTTCTCACTCTTGTAGAAAGAATTCATACATATGCAAATGGGGAATGTAGAATTAAGTCTTCTGGTGGTGTTTTAGAATTGGAGGTATTGTTTTTTATCATAAAGAGGTAGATATAACTGCTAGGGAAATAGCATGAACAAAGTAGAAGCAATCCTTGCCTTTATAGAATGATTTTTAAACTAGAAGACAGAAACACAAGAGTCCTAGTAATTAGAAACACAATCCCTTGGGATGGTAAAAATTATTCATAAAATAACGTAAAATGTTCTCTCCAAAGGGAGAAATGCAGTCTTACCTCTTCTTTTTTAAAAATCTTTTGTGAAATGTTTACTTATACTGTTTTCCGAAAACTAAAGAGATGTTAGTGCTGTCAAAAATCCTTCATTCAGAATATTTCTGTAATTAATAATTATTTTACTTAAACTAAACATGTTCTTTTTGAAGAAAAATTAAACTTTTTTGAATTAGAGATACAACTATTTAAATTATCTTTAAAATAAAACTACATTTCCCATAATGTTGGTTGCTTTTATAGAAACTCCTTTTCCCACAGATTTACATCAAAAGACTAACAATTCACTTGCCATCATGCATAACAACAGCAGAGAAAGGCTAAGCATGGGGAGGGCATGAATAGGCCTCAAACTCTTTAATATCATACATGTGATGATTAAACCCAAGATACAGCATCATATTTCTTTTTTTTAGCTGGTTATTTTTAGTTATATATGACAGTAGAATCCATTTTGATATAATTTTACAGAGCATGGAATATCTCTTATTCTAATTAGGACCCAATTCTTGTACATATGCATGATGGTGGAATTCACTGTGATGTTTTTATATATGTACATAGAAACATTTTGTTTTTCATTTCACTGTCTTTATCAACTCTCCCCCATCCTTCCCTCAATTTCCCATTGTCTAATCTACTGAACTTCTATTCTTACCTTCCACCCCCCTTTTGTAGATTAGCTTTCACGTGTCAAAGAAAACATTTGACCTTTGGCTTTGGGGAACTGCATTATTTCACTTAGCAAAATAGTCTCCAGATCCATCCATCTATCAGCAAAAGTCATAAAGTGATTTTTATGGGGGAATAATATTCCTCTAGGTATTTATACCACATTTTCTCTATCCATTCATCTGTTGAAGAGCACTTAGGTTGTTCCCATAGATTGACCATTGTTAACTGAGCTGATATAAACATTGATGTGACTATGTCACTGTAGTATGCTGATTTTAAATCCTTTGGATGTATACTAAGGAGTGGGATAGCTGGGTCAAATGGTGATTCCATTCCTAGTGTTTTGAGGAATCTCCATACTCCTTTACAGAGTGATTGCACTAGTTTTCAGTCCCACGAGAAATGTTTGAGTGTACCTTTTTTACCCACATCCTCGCCAATACTTATTGTGACTTGTATTCTTGATAATTGCCGTTCTGACTGGAGTGAAATGAAATCTTGGTATAGCTTTAATTTCCTTCTCTCAAATTACTAGAGATGTTGAACATTTTTTTAGTATATTTGTTGACCATTCTTATTTCTTCTGTGAAGGGTCTGTTCAGTTCTTTTATCCATTTATTGAGTTATTTGATTTTTTTGTGTTAAGTTTTATGAGTTCTTTATATATCCTGGAAATCATTGCTCTATCTGAAGTGCAGGGGGCAAAGATTTTCTCCCAGGCTGTAGGCTCTCTCTTCATGTTCTTGATTGTTTCCTTTGCTGTAAAGAAGCTTTATAGTTTGGTGGCATCCCATTTATTGATTCTTGTTTTTATTTCTTACACTTTATGAGTCTGATTAAGGAATTTGATTCCTAAGCTGATATATTGGAGTTTTGTGCCCAATTTTTCTTCTAGTAGGTGCAGGATTTCTGGCCTCATGCCTAGGTCCTTGATCTACTTTGAACTGAGTTTTTTGCAGGGTAATAGATAGGGGTTCAATTTCATTCTTCTACATATGGATTTCCAGTTTTCCCAGCACCATTTGTTAAAGAGGCTATCTTTTCTCCAATGTATGTTTTTGGAGCCTTCGTCTAGTATGAGGTAACTGTATTTTTGTGGGTTTGTCTCTGTGTCTTCTATTCTGTTCCATTGTTGTTCTTGCTTGTTTTAGTGCTAATATCATGCTGGTTTTGTTATTGTGGCTCTATAGTACAGTTTAAGGTCTGGTATTGTAATGCCTCCTGCTTCACTTTTCTCTCTAAGGACTGTTTGGGTTATTATGAGTTTCTTATTTTTCCAAATGAATTTCATGACTGCTTTTTCCATTTCCATAAAGGTCACTGGAATTTTGATGGGAATTGCATTGAATCTGTACAGCACTTTTGATAGTAAGGCCATTTTGACAATATTAATTCTGCCTGTCCAAAAACGTGGGGGGTCTTTCCATTTTCTAAAGTCTTCTCCAATTTCAAAATGGAACACTGTGTAGGTTTAAGTTAGAAAAGACTTGAGAAGCCCCCATTTCATTTACTTCATCTTGACCACATTAAGTAACCATTTTTCTCACTACGCACTAGTGGCCAGCAGTGAAGCCCACTGGAGGCTTCAGTGGAATCAAGAAGACAAACTTAGCTTTGAGGCCTGGATTTCCTAGCATTGTGCTTTTGGAGAGCTCTCAAGCCTCAGGGGTCCTCAGCATCTCAGATGTGTGAATGATGCCAGAGAAGAATAAGAAGAAAAGAACAGATGCTATGAGGAAGTGACAAGATTTGTTAGTACAAGAGGAAATACCCATATCCTCCAGGCACTGGTAGTAACTGGGTACAAGGTTTACAGTTTTTCCCAATAGAGAAGATCATACATATAATATATTTGTGTGTATATGAGACACACACACAAAGCAATGAGAACTATCTTAAAACCAATTGTATTGAGAAGTATGATTATGTAAGGAGCCCTTAATTTATGTATATAAGTCTTAAATTTTATCAGATATTGACTTATTTCAAATTGAGGTGATTTTTCTGCTTTAAAATAGAAATAATGTAAAATATTTAGGAGAAAGATGGTAAATGAATTCTAATTTGTTTCTATGCTTCCTTAGTACCATTAAAGTTAGAAAACCTACTGCATTTAAGTTGTGATGCTGAATTTTTAATATTAATTTTTACATTATAATTTCCAATATATTCTCCTTTCCCTGCATTTTGCAGATGAATAAGCAGGCATAGGATAATTAAGTCCCTTTCCTGCATACAATCAGCTAGCAAACATCAGAACTTGAACTCAATTTAGCTATAGAATGACTCAAAGTCATATAAATTTTAAGCATTGCACAATAGTTTCTTGATTAGGGTAAAACTAATTTTTAATTTTGAAATGTACTCATACTGGATATTTAATTTGAAAATAAATATTCATGTTTTATAAAGCTCTCAGGTAGATTACTTTCTCTATATTCAGGGAGATGTGTGTATGTTTAACAGCAATGTATGTTATACTTAGTATTGAAAAGGTATTGAAAAGCTCCCTATAACATTATAAATGATTAATTGACTCAAGTCTATTGATTTTAATTTCTATTATATTAAAGTCAGTTATACAATTATAAAACAGGGGACAAGAAACAGATTAAGATTTGCAGGGTTCTTATTGGATGAGGGCATGAGGGAACCTCTGGAGTGCTGGATACAAGAGTATGTACACGTGAGGGGGAAGATGGCCAATTAGTGTGAGGTAGCATTTCTCTTAGCTTGGCTACCCAGAACTCAGACAGGGTGAATACTTTATCTCCCAGAAGCTTAGAATGAAAAATACTGAGACTGGAGGGACAGTCTGCCCTAACTGAACACAGACTGCTTGACTCATTGACCAGATATATATATATATATATATATATATATATATATAAAATTCTTGACTAGAGTTTATCAGTTGTTCAAGATTCAGGAGCCATCTGTAGACTGCAGAGTGGCAGAGCCTATGGAAACTGAAACCCAGATCCAGATCCGTGAGTTGCAGCTAGGTCTGCATGGCTCTGTCTAAGCCTAACAATCATGTGGAAAGTCAGAAACTGAGAGCATTTTGCCCAGGGGAACACAGGCTCTCCCCAGTGCCAGGAGTCCTAAGGTTTGCAAAGATGGACAGGGATGGCTACAATGGGTCAGAAGATTGGAAAAAGGACATCTTACTATCAGCTCACCCAGCCAGCCAGTCCTGCACTCACTGGGCTCCTGGGACCCACTTGGACCAGAACTCATGGAATTCCAGCACCATCCTGGTCCCCAATTCCCTCCCAGTCCTGCATCCACCAGTCCCCTGATCCTGTCAGTTCCAGCATCAGTCCAGCATCCTATAGGGCACTCCAGCTTCCCAGTGCCCAGTCTCCCAACCCCTGGTAACCCCCAACCTGGCCCATCACTCACAGCTTTGCAGCCAGCCTGCAGGTCTCAGTGCCTGGTCATGATCCACTTGATACATAACATCTGGATCCCCTGTGTGACTGAGCCCCACATGCTTCCTATCCATCAGACTCATTGGGTCCAGCACACAGCTCCACAATGAATATGCAGGTTCTTGTGTCCAGCCCTCAGGACCAGCTGGGAGAGAAGCACCTGACCAGGAATTGCAAAGGGCAAGAGCGGGAGATTGAGTTTAGAGACTAAATCAGAGACCAGGAATTATGGGGTCCACATGTGATATAAAGTGCTAAGAATAGGCTCCAATACCACATGAGTGGAACCCAAGGGAGATTCCAGGGGTGAGTCTTCCAACATGGACTAGCAACTCTGGTCCTGAAGATGCACTGTTGTAAAATCTCCAGACCAGTTGGTTCACAGCGTACCAAGCATACAACCCACCTCCAATGTTCTGCCTCCAGGACTAACACTCCCACCCTAGTAACCCCAGCCATCCTGAGGGTAGAGCTAGCATTAAACTCTAGACCACCTGACCTAATAGCCAAGAAGGGAAGCTGAGAAACTTCTCTTCTCCAAAATTGCTTAATTTTTCATTGAAATGCCCCCTTTTCTCTCTCGCATTTCTACCATTTTTGAACCAAATATTTTTCATGCATTGGTTCATTGAGGACTGGGATGTCTGAAAAATATCACAGTTTTGTTGTGTATTCTTGTATTTTTACTTATTTCTTTTTCTTTTTTAATTTCTTGCCGCAGTCCAGCTGCAGCAAAATAACCGGGGGGTGACGAACAACTTGTGTACATTGATACAGCAGGAGTGGGAGCCGTTTATTGTAGGACAACAGAGGTATTTATACATTCCACACAGCTTATCTTAATTAACATAAACTAGATACAGCAGTCAACCAATAAGAAATCTCCACAATTAATGGCTCGCTGGCGCCACCTCACAAACCACTCCCCCTGGCAAAATGCCAGGCGCCATCTTGACTTGTTTACAGACTCTAACAATTTCTTTTTATTTTTTAAAAATTTTTATATATATATATATATATATATATATATATATATATAGAGAGAGAGAGAGAGAGAGAGAGAGAGAGAGAGAGAGATTCATTTCCTCTCACTTATCTATTACCCTGGATTCTCTTTCTTTTCTCTGTTAATAACCAATTTCTATTAATTCCTCTTTCATTCTTCCTATAATTTTTACTTCTATCTCTTCTCCTCCTTCCTCATAAACATCACTTCCTACACCACTTCTATTATCTCCTTTTCCACCATTTGATACTGTAAACCCTTTTGCAAACTACTGTTTATACTGTAGAGAATAACTGAAAGCATCATTTCTGTTTATTGTGAGAAAAGTGTAGACATCCTACTAGGAGATTTTTTTTTATTTAAGGTTATGTATTGTTTGCATTAGGTGCTGTGAAAATTGGTCTTCCCCTTAAGGTGAGGTACTGGAAAAATACAGGGACACTAAAAGTCTACAGGGTAGAAACTGTACTGCCTCAGATCCACACTGCTAGATGGGCAGACACACAAACAGAATGAAAAAGAGAAGTGAACAAAGCACACCCAACAAATTAAGATGTTCCAACAATAGAATTCATTGATAACACAGTAGAAGAAATGTCAGAGAAGGAGTTTAGAATAGTTACATAGTTAAACTGATCCAAAATATAAAGAATGATATAAGAAGTGAAATCAGGGATAAATTTCATGAGGTGAAATATCATTTCAATAAAGAGAGATTCTGAAAAGAAACTAAGCAGAAATCCTCAAAATGAGGGAATCAATAAACCAAATTAAAAATTAAATGAAAACCATCACCACGTGAAAGACAGACCCTTTGGTGATGAAGATAAAATACATAATCTTGAAAATAAAGTTCACCATGCAGAGAAGATGGCAAGAAACCATGAACAGACTTACAAAATGGGATAACATGAAGAGACAAAATTTAAGATTTATCAGGATAGATGAAGGCACAGAGATACAGACTAAAGGAGTGCACAGTCTTTTAATAAAATAATATCGGAAAATTTCCCAAACCTAAAGAATTAAATGGAAAATCAAGTACAAGAGGCTTATAGGACCCCAAATGTACAAAATCACAACAGACTCACACCAAGGCACATTATAATAAATATGCATAACATACAGAATAAGAATAGAATTTTAAAGACCGAAAGAGAAAAATATCAGTTTACATATAGGGGAAACTAATTTGGACCTCAGCTGATTTCTCAAACCTGACTCTCAAAGCTAGGAAGTTATAGAATACTATAAACCTGAAAGAAAATAGATGACAAACAAGAATTCTGTATCCAGAAAAATTAAGCTTCAGACTTGAAGATGAAATAAAAACCTTCTATGATAAACAAAAGTTAAAAGCATTCACAAATAGAAAGCCTGCATACAGAACATTCTCAACAAAATATTCCATGAAGATGAAATGAAAAATAAAAATGAAAACCACCAAAAGAAGAAACTATGCTAAAGGAATAGTCAATCAAGGATAAATTAATTCAAATTAAAAACCAGAAATAAACCAAAATGACTGGAATATATATCATATCTCAATAATATCCTTGGATGTTAATAACTTATCAGTCTAAACACATATACTGGCAGATTGGATTTAGAAACAAGACCCAACAATATGCTCTCTCCAAAGAGCTTACCTCATAGGCCAAGACATTCACAGACTGAAAGTGAAAGAGCAAGGGTTTCTATCCCCATATAAAGTGGACTTAAAGTGAAAGTTAGTCATTAGGAACAAAGAAGGACATTTAATACTGCTTAAGGGAATTACATCAACAAGATGTAACAATAGTAAATATTTATACCCCAAACAATGGAGCATCTACATACATATCAATGTCAAGAATCAAATACACCACAACACAATAATACTGGGTGACTTTAACACACCTCTCTCACTACTGGGTAGATCCTCCAAACAAAAACTAAACAAAGAAACTATAGAACTAAACAATACAATCAATAATTTAGACTTAACAGATATATATATATAGAATATTTCAACATCAACAAGTGAATAGATTTTCTTCTCAGCCCCACATAGATCCTTCTCTAAAATATAACATTTCTTATGCCACAAAGAAACTTGTAGCAAATACCCAAAAAAAGACATAATACTCTGCATTCTTTCAGATTATAAGGGGATGAAATTAGAAAATAGAAGTTACTAACACCTGAAGACTATATAATAGTATATTGAATGATGAATGGATAACAGAAGAAATCAGGGAGGAAATTTAAAAAAAACACATCTAGAAGTATATGAGAATAGTGATACAAAGTATTAAAATCTCTGGGACACTATGAAGGTACTGCTAAGAGGAAAGTTCATCATATTGAGCTCATTCATTAAAAGAATAAAAAGTCAATAAATACATGACCTAACATTGTATCTCAAAGCCCTAGAAAAAGATGAACAAAAAAACACCAAAGGCAGTAGAAAACAGGAAATAATTAAAATAAGAGCTGAAATCAATAAAACTGAAACAAAGGAACAATTCAAAAACTGACAAAACAAAAGGTCGGGTTTTTGAAAGAAAAAAAAATGATAAACAATTAGTTACACTAACAAAGAGAAAAAGAAAGTTCAAATTACTAAAATTTGTGATAAAAAGGAAATATTACAATAGACATTACTGAAATACAGAAGATAATCAGAAACAATTTTAAAAATTTATACTTCAATAAATTAGAAAATTTTGAAGACATCAACAAATTTTTAGAGACATATGACCTATTCAAATTGAATCAGGAGGATATACAATGTAATAGAAGACACCATTAAAATCCTATCAATCAAAAAAACCCAAGGAAAAAAATTAAAAAAAAATATTTTAAGCCTATGACCAGACAGATTCTCAACCAAGTTCTATAAGACCTTCAAAGAAGAATTAACACCAATATTCCTCAATTTTTTTCCATGAAATAGAAAACACATTCTATGAAGCTAGTATCACCCTGATACCAAAACCAGACAAAGACACTTCAAGGAAATAAAACTTCAGACCAATATCCCTCATGAACACAGATGTAAAAATTCCTAATAAAATTCTGGAAAATCTCATACAAAAACATATTTAAAAGATAGTGGGCCACGATCAAGTGGGATTCCTCCCAGAGATGCACAGTTGGTTCAACATACAGAAATCAACAAATATAATTCATCACATAAATAGACAAGACTCATGTGATCATCTCAATAGATGTAGAAAAGGCATTTGACAAAATACAGCACCTTTCATGTTCAAAACACTAGAAAAACTACGGATAGTAGGAATATATCTCAATATTATAAGAGCTATCTATGCTAAACCTAAGTCCAGTTTCATTCTAAATGGAGAAAAATTTAAAGCATTTCCTCTAAGAACTGGAACAAGACAAGGATTCCATCTTTCACCACTTTGATTTCACCATCCTTGAAACTCTAGCCAGAGCAATTAGACGAAAGAAATTAAAGGATACAAACAGGAAAAGAAAAACTCAAGATATCCATTATTTGCAGACAACATGATTCTATACTTAGTGGATTTTTAAAACTCCACAAGAAAACTTCTATAAATAATAGATGAATTCAGCAAAGTAGCAGGATATAAAATCAACACCCATAAATCAAATACATTCTTATACATCAGTGATGAATTTGCTGAAAGAGAAATTAGGAAAACTATCCCATTCACAATAGCCTCAAAAGAAATAAAATAAAATACTTGGGAATCAATCTAACAAAAGACTTATACAATAAAACTACAGAACACTAAAGAAAGAAAATGAAGGAGACCATAGAAGATGGAAAGATCTCCCATACTCTTGCATAGGTAGAATTAACATTGTCAAAATGTTTTGGTGGTATGGCCATACCACCAAAAACTTTATACAGATTTAATGCAATTCCCATTAAAATTCCAATGACATTCTTCATAGAATTATAAAAAGCAATCATAAAATTTATTTGGAAAACTGAGAGACCCAGAATAGCCAAAGCAATCTTTAGCAAGAAAAGTGAAGCAGGAGGCATTAAAATACCAAATTTTAAACTGTACTACAGATCAACAGTAACAAATACAGCATGAAATCAGCATCAAAAGGGACATGTAGAACAATAGTGCAGAGTAAAAGACACAGAGAAAAAAAACACATAATTACAGTTATCTTATATTAGACAAAGGCACTTAAAACATACTTGGAGAAAAGATACCCTCATCAACCAATGGTGCTAGGAAAACTGAAAATCCATATATAGCAAAAGGATATTAAACTGCTATCTCTAGTCCTGCACAAAACTCAAATCAAAGTGGATCAAAGACTGAGGCATTAGAACAGAGACTCTGAACCTTATAGAAGAAAAAGTAGGACCAAATCTTCATTATGTCAGCATAGGACCCGACTTCCTTAATAAGACTCCTAAAGCATAAGAAGTAAAATCAGGAATCAAATAAATGGTAAAAAGCTTGTTCACAGAAAAAGAAATAAGCAATAGCATGAAGAGAGAGCCTGTATGATAGAAGAAAATCTTTAACACATGCACCTCAAAGCATTAATCTCCAGAATATAAAAAGAACTAAATAAACTTAACACCAAATAACCCAATCAGTAAATGGGCTAAGGATCTAAACAGACATTTCACAGAAGAAGAAATACAATCAATCAAAAATATATGAAAAAATGTTCAACATCTCTAGTAGTTAGAGAAATGCAAATCAGAACTACACTGAGATTTCATTCTCATTCCAGTCAGAATGGCAATTATCAAGAATGCAAGCAACAATAAATGTTGGCAAGCATGTGGAGGAAACTGTACACTCATACATTGCTGATGGGACTGCAAATTGGTGTAACCATTATGGAAAGCGGTATGGAGATTCCTCAGAAAACTTGGAATGGAACCACCATTTGACCCAACTATCCCACTCCTTGGTTATTCCCAAAGGACATAAAATCAGCATACTACAGTGATGCAGCCACACAGCAGCTCAACTGACAATAGCAAAACTATGGAACCAACTTAGGTATCCTTCAAAGGATGCATGGATAAAAAGAAACTGATACATATACACAATGGAATATTATCAGCTTTAAAGAAAAATGAAATTATGGCATTTTCAGGTAAATTGATGGAGCTGGAAAATATCACACTAAACAAAATAAACCAATCCCAAAGAACAAAAGGCTGAATGTTTTCTCTGGCATGCAGATGCTGATTCACAGTAAGACAGTGGGGACTATGGAAAAACAGAGGTACTTTGGATTGGACAGAGGAGGTGAGGGGAGGGGAGGTGGTAGGGGATAGGAAGGATAGTAGAATGTATCAGACATTATTACCCTACGTGCATACATGATTACATAACCCATGTAATTCGGTATTAGGTAAAAATTAGAAGAATGAGAAGGTATACTCCATTTATGTATGATGTGTCAAAATGTATTCTACTGTCATGTATAATTAATAAAAATTAATTTAAAAAATAGTATATACAGAGATCAAGAAGCTGAAGCAGGAGGATTGCAAGTTAGAGGCCAGCCTTAGCATTTTAGCAAGACCCTCAGTATCTTAGCAAGAACCTGTCTCAAAATAAAAAATGAAAGGTACTTAAGATGAATCTCAGTGCTAAAGTGTCCCTGGGTTCAATCTCCAGTGCAAAAAAGAAATGATTAAATAAATATTTAGTTCATTGCATTGTATACAAATTGAGCCTCAATTTTAAAAAGAATGAACAGATACAAAAAGGAAGAAAATAGAACAAAAAAGGGGGGAAAGAGAAAGGGAAGGGAAGTAAAAAAAGGAAGGAAGGAAAGAAATAAATAAGGAAGTTAGGATGGAAGGTGGGTGGGTGTTGCTTTACCCTGTGGTACAAGAAGCAAGTTTGGAACATATTAAAAGTGGAGATCTGGAGAAGGCAGTTGAATATATAAGTAGGGATCCAGTCTAAAATTGAGGTAAAAATTTAGAAATCATCTTTGTGTAGATCTTACCTCAAACACTGACACTGCATGGGATTCCCAGGGGGTGAATTAAGCAGTGTGCTAAATCCCATAATATGCTAAAGCTTGTGAAAATAATATGTGAAGGCTCAACCAGAAGCCTACAAAACAGGAGGATGAGTAAGATTGAATAGTATCATGTAAATGGATACCAGAGAGAGAGATTGCTATTAAACTTCTATGTTTTTAATTATTTTACATCAAGAAAATGAATCTTTAAACTCTAAGCCTAGCATAGTTACAAGAAGAAAAAGAATGATCTAATACCGCAGTCCGGCTGCAGCAAAATAACGGGGGGGGGGGGGGGGGGGGGGGG